GGGGGAGGGGGAGGAGGAGGAAGGGGAGGAAGAGGAGGAGGCACTAACTAGAAACAAGAGCGCTGATTCACATGGAGCTGGGGAAAGTAAAACATTAATCACAAAAGGGTGTAATGGCTAATAGAACAACGTGTGCCGCTTCCAGCATTTCTGGAAGACACGTCACTCCCTCATGAGCTCTGCCTCAAAGAACCAGGAGGCGCACGAAGACGCGCACAACAAGCCTCCACACAGCCAGACACAACGTCTAACGCACAACACTTGTGGGTCTTTCCTCCTTCTGATTTTCTCTCCCAGTGACAGAGAGATGTATTTAGTGACCTAATGAGTCCCCCAGGTTTCTAGCACGCTGACCATGGAGCGAGCAATTCTGAATATAGCACTGGAGATGCATAAAGCTGACGCTGCCTCTAAGCGGCCCTTCAGCCCCTGGGCCCAGCAGAGCCCTGGCGGGGCGCACATGCCCCGCTGCAGGAGCACACTCCTAGGACGAAGCCGGAGGCACGCTTCCGCGCAGTGACCTGTCAGCACAATGCAGTCAAGACCTGTGCTTCAGGAACGTAGTGTCACCCACTGGTGAGTTTCATAAGAATGGCCTAAAAATGCAATTTCACCTTTATCAAAAACACTGTACAGACGGTCTGCACATTCTGTGCTCTTTTCTCCTACTGTTCTCACGGGTAGCTTTATATTTATCATATATACTTCAATAGTAATTGCATTAAGGTAAAACGAATACGCCCTTTAAAGTATATGATGCAGCCAGTTTTAGTACAGTCCTGAGGCTGACTGGCTGCCGCCATTACTAGCGTTAGGATAGTTTCACTATTTCTGCCCTTGGAGAGATCTTATTCTGTTCCCAGTGGTTCTGCACTCTTCCCCTGCCCCAGCCCTGGCAGCCACCGACTCTCACGTGCCACCTGTGGATCTGCCCGCCCTAGCGTGTGACACGAACACCCCACACAACACGTGGCCTTCTGTGCCTCGCTTCTTTTATCTATCATGGTGACGGCAATCCATTTAGAACCTTTAATGGTAACAGACTGCCACATGTGCCACAGGCTCGCCACAGGGCCCAGCGTAATGTGTTAAAGGTTCCTTCGAGTTGCCGCATGTAGTCCGTGTTCATTTCTTTCCACTGCCAGCTGTCCCACTGAGTGGGCACAGCATGCTACGTGTGTCCACTCATCAACTGGTGGATGTGTGTGGGCAGTGGACAGCCCAGCTGAACAGTGCTGTGATTAGGGTTCCCGCCCAAGGATGTGCCTAGCTACTGCTTAATTCCTCTTGAGTGTGTACTCAGGCATACGACGGTGGTTCATATGGTAACTGTGTGCTTACTGTTCTGAGGAAGTACCAAATGGTTCTGCCAAGTAGATTCCCTACTTTCTGGCCTTGATTGATGTTCAGACAAGACAGTCAGAAACAGGCTATCACTTTGCAGTCTCTTCTTTGG